TTTTGTTTTCACTGGTGGTATGACTTGATCTTGTCATACGTTCCCCAAGTTCGTCACTTAGATTCATATAGTTATCCATCGATCCCGAGTTCCATAACGGCTGATCTTCCTCTTGGCTCAATGACAAACCCCTCATCCTTTGCCCGCCTAACCAACAGTCAGACATCTGCCACGGGTAACAAACTATTAAACTACCTACTGGGCGGAACGTACCAGATTACCTAAGTTGGTTTTTGCGACACTTTTGACTCGATAAAACATTAAAAACAGGCTTGTCCCGTGAGCATGATCCTAAAACCATGCTCTGATACCACTATTTGTAACACTCCCAATTCGATCTATATCCAATGTCAAACCGCGAATGTCACAAAGCCGAGGTTCAGTTGATAAGGCAGCTCGTCTTGGAGCGAATCCAAGCATAAGACCGTCTTGCCAAGTTAGCTCGAAACCTCTCGACTAAGGCCTAACGCTTTTCAACCCGTACCCCGTTCTCGAGTTGTGTTAGTCCGGACTAGACTAATATCATTAAGCAAGCTTAAGTTTGAAAAAACGTACTTAATATTAATATCATATCATTCTCAAAAATACGTTCTTACAAACCATATATATATATATATATATATATATATATATATATATATAAGGCTGCAGCGGAGGGTAAACCCAAAAAGGCGTCTAGTACATACTTTATCTCACAACCGAGTTTTACAAAAACCAACGCAAATCTACTTCGGTATCCTAACGTTCCGCTCCACTTACTAAGGCCACCTACTGGTTACCTGTAGGAAGGAAAAAGGGGGATGAGTAATCTAAGATTACTCAGTGAGTCCAGGATTCTCTAACAATATAATACCCAAAATTCCCAAGAAACCCCAAGTAACAAGCAAGCAAGCAATCACGCAATAGCCGAAGCAACATAAAATAAATAGCCAAAGCATGCAATCCTAGATCTATATGCAAGCTAAACTATATGCAAATGTGCTACCACTTCCGCACCAAACCGCGTTCTTACAACACACACACACTACCACACACCACGCGTCACACTCGCGTGGACACAGAGATCTCTAAGTTGGTCGGCCGGTTCCCCTACCACGAACACCCTGCACTTGACTATCACAAAGACAAGCCAAGCCAGAACACCGGTACCACGAACACCCTGCACTTGACTATCACAAGGATAAGCCAAGCCGGAACGTCGGTCACCTTGGGAGCTCCTCGGTCGGTTCACATCTCGGTGGCGTTTCCATCTGAGAGCTGCCAAGTAAGTTCACATCCCAGGCGGGACAACCATGACTCCTCGCTGGTTTCCCGACTATTCCATCGGATAGTACTCGGGCAACATAGCAGTATGTCGTAAAATTGGGGAGCGGGGAACTCCGACCACACTGTCACTAAGTCATGAAAGATACACCACCAACATGACCCTGCAGTATAATGGATCTCACGCCATTATACTTAACACCCGCGTTGATCCACACATGATCAAACGCCAACACACCTCCACCCAACCTCCGAGAAGTTAGCGCCCTAGAGTGATGGCAAAACAAGAACTTCTCTAGTCCCAACTCTTGTTTACGGTTACAAGCGTTACGCTTGAACCTCGCTCATGCACGTTCATTATAACTCCACTTACATGACCTGCACACTCGCTTATCCGGTGAAGGAACATGCAAATGAATCTGAGATTTGGCAGTCCTTACACCTTCTTATCACTCGGTAAGGATGATAACATGTCCTACGGGCATGCACAAACCGTTACCTCACCCAACGGGTTTTGCAGTACTCAGATCTACCAGATTTGAGGCTGATCCTGCATAAAAATGTTAGTATACACTCGGATCTATTAAGATCCGAGCTTCCCTGCATCACACGTTAGTCACACACATACACACAAGCACAAAACCTAATCTACCGAGTCTAGTGTTGTGTTACAACGCAGATCCGAGATCTACACTACACAACGAACAGCAACTGTGATAGTCCACCACTACCGAGACTCACCAGATCTGACGAAATCTTCCACAAACTCCTCAGATCTAGGGACTCACGACCACACAACACTCAGATCTAAGACTTTAGACACCGCTCACTCACTCAAAACACGGATCCGAATACTCTCTCACAAAACCGTACTAACTCTCTCTTTTCTCTCACGGACTCACTCTCTTTTCTTCTTTCTTTTTTTCTCTCACTAGCACGCCTAAGGTAGCAACTAATGGGGTGGGTTGACGGTTAAGGGTCTTTATATAGAGTTTCTCCACCAATGAGGTGTTAACACCTTACCTTCTCTCCTCCAACCAATCCGAAAACGCCAGCACGCCAACTAATCATTCTTATCTCTTCCCCACCAATCATAATTAGGCATGTGGTTAATGTGACTCATTCTGGCCTTCCTTATTCCCGAAGTAATGAAATATATTCGTCTCTGTCCCGCGTTCACTCTGTTTGGCTCTATTCCGGATCTCTAGTGCGTCTATAGACTTCCTCCGGGATTTTGATGGTTTCCTTTGGTAGATAGGCTCCTCTTAGGCTTAGTATAAGTTGGTTTTTCTTCTGCTTGACCCATTTCACGGCTCGGACGCATCTAACGAACTGTTCGATTTTTTAGAGAACTTGGCAGAATTTTTCTTAGAGAAATTCTTCTTCCTCAGCCTTCAGTATGGTCTTGGTTACCTCCGTGCAAAGTCCCATAATTTTTAAAATTGTATCGAGGGGTTTCCACAACTGAAAGCTCTGTCCAGGTCGTTTAGCTCTTTGATAGGGTTATTACAGTCCCATTGTCCATATATAAGTATCCATCACGCTTTGTCCATCTTATATAGCATGTTCATACCCATATTCGTATGTATATACCGTTCACATTCAAAGATATCCAGTTTGTGTTTTAAGGGGTTGAAATTTCCCCTTTAAGAGTATAAAAACCTGCATCATGTTTATCTACAATCGTGATCCTGAATAAATGTCCACGTTTTTATCTTGTTATATCTATAATATATCAAAACTTTATAAATTTTGATTTTTTCTATCATATAATAGAAATTTATCCACAATCACATGACCATAAATAATTGTACACATTATCATATTATTGTGTACAAAGTATATCAAATCTGCAATGTCTGCATCGACGTCGCTGCATCCACATCATTGCATCCACGTAGTTACATCTTTTACTGAATTCTTACTAACAATTGAAAGAATGAATATTCTTTTTAAAAAAGGTGAGAAGGGTTTGTCCGTTCTGTATACCACAGCGGTGAAGACTAAACAAAAAGCATTAGAAGATTAATTAAAAAAAATCAAAGAAGAGTTTTGTTACCTCTTTTATCGCATCAATCTGGTTTGGATTCCGACGATAGAGTAGTTGAGCCAACGTTTCAATAGTGATGGAACTCTGGAAATAGATTACGAGATGATCTCTGACAGAAAATCGTTCATAATGCCTCAAATTCGATGAAAAGAAGAAGAAGACGAAAAAAAGAAAGAACAAAGACAAAGAAGAAAGAGAAAGAAAAATAGGCAGAGGCTATCATGGGCAGCAAAAAAAAATAGTTGGTATAATTAAGGATTTTGATTGAAAAAACTTAATTAAAAATATGGTTGGTATTTCACAATCCAAAAATACATTTAAAGTCCATTAGGAGCAATAAATGCCTTTGGGTGTAAACAAAAATTCATAAGTACTTATAAATGTAAATCACTCAATATGATAGAAGGAGATATAAACTTAAAAATCTGAGTTAGATGATTAAATAAACTCCAAACTCTTTCTTTCATTTAAAAGCTGTTATTGATTCATGTATTTTTTTTTAATAATCTATATAATTTTTGTAAAATTTATTGATTTTTAAAATCTAACATGTTGATTTTACAAAATCATAAATTTAAACTTAGATTTGAATTCTTCCAAATTCACTAAAATCTTATTTAAAATCAAATCCATGATTTTAAAATCATGAACTAATACACATAATTTGAATATAGATTTTAAAATCATAAAACTAATAACACTGAATTTGAATATAATTTTTAAAATTATATAACTAATAACACTGAATTTAGTTGATTTTTTCTAAACCCATTAAAATCATAGAACTAATAATCCCACTTAGTATAATCATACATAAACTCAAAAGTTGGCTTAACTCATTTTTCAATTGTAATTTTTGTTATTTTGATACATAAACTTTGACAATTTATAAAAAATAAAATTTATTTTTGACAATTTATAATCGGTTATGTCACATCTTTGTTCGAAAACTCGGGTGCCGTAACGATTCGACAGTGGTGAAATCGGGCGGCGGAGGGACAACGCTGCGATTTGGAGCAGATCGGTGGTTTAAACAGTGGGCCGATTAAAAAGCGATGTTTGGCGAAAATCGGCCTGTAATAATAATTGGACTGCGTTAAAACTGGCCCATTAAGCCCATCATAAATCCCAGACATACAATTTGGTTGTACCACAGTCTTCTTCCCCTTCCCCGACATTATCACAATTTCTGATTTTCTCTCACAGCAAACCCTAATTCCAATTAATCAAAAAGAGCCAAATCATTTGTCATCTGCATCAAACCATTACTTTACTGAAGCTTTTCCAGGTAATTTCAAACTTCCCTATTTTGTTATTTAAGCTTCTTATAGAAAATCTGTAAACTGGTGAATAACATTTTTATTAGAGTGTTGATTTGATGATTATAGATGGCAAGAAATAGTTCAATTGCTGATTGTTGTTTTAGTTAGTGTTTGAAGTGTATGATTTTGATGAATTTGGTAGTAACTTTCTGATTTCTTAGTTTTTAAAATCATAATCATTTTTTCTTTTGCTAAGCTCGATATTGATGAATTTAAGTGTGTTATTCAAATTTGTTTTTTTTATTCTGGGTAATGCTACTTCCTATATTTGATTCTATGAGTTAGTTTTTAAAAATTCAGTTCTGAATTTTGTTTTCTGGTTATGATCATCATTAGTGAAGCAAGTTGCATTTTTTTTAGGTTAGAGTTTGATGGATAATCCACCAACAGATACACCTCCTCCTCTTCAAAGTTTAAAGCGAAATTCAAATGATGTAGGATGGGATTATGAAATCTTGTTTAATCCAACAAATAGAGATAAGTTGAGATGTATGTTGTGTGGGAAAGAGGTTTGTGACGGTGTCTACAGAATGAAAGAGCACATAGGTCATGTGAAGGGAAATGTTGCTTCTTGTCCACGATCAACTAAAGTTGATCAAGAGAAGTGTAAGAAGGCACCTTTAGAAGGAAGAAATAAGAAAGATCTGAAGCGGAAACATGAGGAAGAAATGAGAGCAGGGGTTGATATAAATAAGGACAGCATCATTAAGGGACTGGAAAGACAGCTTCGAACTCTCAAACCTCCTCACTTCCAAGGTTCGATTGATCAGTTTGTCACCGTCATCAACCCTGAAGCTTCTTTGTCTACACAGAAACGACAACAAAGTATCCATGATGCTATTTCGAAGGAGAAATCACATGCTGTACATCAATATTGTGCTCGATGGGTCTACTAGTCAGATATTGCATTCAACGCAATTGACAATGAATCTTTTAGGTTATTTTGTGAAGCATTGGGACAGCTTGGGCCTGGTTGGATGCCTCCAACTCAGTATCAGTTGAGAGAACCATTGCTAAATGAAGAACAGCAAAGGACAAAGGAAAATTTGAAGAGTCTAGAAGAAGAATGGGACAAAGGTGGCTGCTCTGTGATGACAGATGCGTGGACAGACATGAAGAAAAGAAGCATCATGAATTTGTGTGTTAATTCAAGAGGAGGTACATGCTTTCTTTCTTCAAATGATGCTTCTAAGAATTCTCACACAGGCGAATATATCTTCAACTATATTGATAAGTGCATTGAAGATCTAGGGGCTGAGAAGGTTGTGCAAGTGGTGACAGATAATGCTACTAATAATGTAGCAGCTGCAAAATTTGAGGGAATATCAAAGTTTCCTGTTTTTTCAAAAATCATAAATCAAGCAAAGGCTGTCACCATCTTTGTATATGCTCATCATAAAACACTATCTATGATGAGGACATATACTAAGAAGAGAGATATAGTGAGACCAGGAGCAACACGGTTTGCAACTTGCTTTTTGACACTTCATAGTCTCTATGAGAAGAAGGCACAACTGAAGAGCATGTTTGCGAGTGATGAGTGGCATGATTGTAAGCATTCCAAGTGTGTGAAAGGTGTGGCTGCATATGATATTGTTATGGGTTGTGCGTTTTGGAATAGTGTGATGCTAGTTTTTAAAGTGTTCAGTCCGTTGGTGAAGGTTCTGAGGCTGGCCGATGGAGAGAAGATACCTTCTCTTGGTTTTATCTATGGTGAGATTTTAGAAGCTAAGAAGTCTATCAAAGAGGTGTCTGATCATGTGGAGAGGAATTATGAACCAGGCGTCTGATCATGTTGAGAGGAATTATGAACCTATCTTTCAAATTATTGATGAGAAGATGAAAGGTAGGCTAGATTCTGGTTTGCATGTTGCTGCCTACTTTCTTAATCCTTTCTATAGCTACAAAGATCCGAATATATATGACTTTGAGGTCATGCAAGCATTCATTGCTTGTGTGGAGACTTTCGATCATGGTGATTTCGAAAAGCAAGACTTGGTCATCAATAAAGAACTTAGTCTCTAAAGAAACAAATGTGGCTTCTTTGGCATAAGCTTAGCTATAAAAGGATGTGAAAAGAAGGATGACAAATTCGATCCAGGTATGTTTTCTCACTTTAATTTTCTTTCTTTGATATTCAAGTAGAAGCTTAGCATATGATATATTTGTCACTTGCTTAATCATAGGAAATTGGTGGGCCACTTATGGATGTGGTGCACCAATATTGCAAAAATTAGCTACTAGGATCCTTGCTTTGATTTCTAGTTCTTTTGGCTGTGAAAGAAATTGGAGCAGTTTTGAAGGGGTTAGTTAATTTCTTCTTTAAGTTTCGCTTCATACATCTTACATTACATACCCTTAAAAGCTAATTTTATGTTGCAGATCCACACAAAGAAAAGAATCAGACTTGATGTAAATCGTCTAAACAGTCTAGTTTTTGTCCAGTTTAACACAAGGCTGTTTAACAAGCAGAAAAAAAATCAGAGAAAGCAATGTTGATGTGATCTTGGATGATGGTAATGAAGATACAGTTGAAGAATGACTTGTGGGTCGTGTAGAAGAGCTTGATAATGATGTTAGTTTTGTGCTTACTACCCAAGCTCCTAGGGTTCGAGAGCTTTATGACGATGACTTTGGATCTGAAGAAGAAGATGTTGTGGACATGGAGTTTGAATCTGATGTCTACCAAGAAGATCCTGTGTTTCACGAGACACAACTTTCTTAGTATGGTACGTTTTCTGTCTTTCTTGTTCAGTGAGACACAACTTTCTTAGATATTACTTTGTCTTTGGTATTTGCAGAGGCTTACTAGAGTTTTTCCTATGTCTTTGGTATTTGCGGATGCTTACTAGAGTTTGTGTGTGTCTTTGGTATTTGCGAATGTTTACTAGAGTTTGTCGTGCAACATAGATATGACTTTTTGATGTGTCTTTGTGTCTTTGTTTATGTTTTGAAACTTACAATGCCACTATCTTTATACTTATAAATCAGAAGTCAATTGACAATTCTCCATTTGACATCTGTCATTTTTATATTTCTTTTAAAAAAAATTAATTACAAAAGATATATTGAGAATAAGATTTTTTGGCGTTTTAAATTTGGTCATGGCAGTTTTATTATCTCTTCCTAAATATTCGCCAAATATATTCACGTTTCTAAATATTTTTCTTCTCTAATTCTGATTTTTCGGTTACAATTTTTTATGTGAATTACAGAACACGATAATAAATTTGTTTTGTAGTTAATATATTGCTGTGAAAAAACCTAAGCAAAATATAATAAAAAAAGAAGAAGACAATCACATACCGTATCACATACCGTAATTTATTAAAGATATATGACTATTTATTATTGACATAACTCTTTTCTGAAAAAAGACGAAGACTTATCAAATTCTTTTTTTTTTTTACTCTTAAGCATCGTCTTCTTCCTTTTTTTGTGACAAAAGTCTTCTTCCTTTTTCTTTGTTGTAAATCAAGCTGAGCTCCCAAAATCAAAAACCAAATCAAAACCTATCAAGTATAGAGCAGAAACAATTTATGACATTGGCATGAAATTGGCGTCCCTATTCCAGATCGTGAATCTGGTATTTAGCAAACCTAATCGCAAAACTGAAACAACTCTTGCGTCGAGATGAAGGTCGAGATGAATGCATCGGAAGGTGAAAGCAAACTTGAGATGCTTATTTGTGATGTTAATAAAGGTAATTCTGTTATTCTGATTGAAAATTGATTTTGCAAGTAAAATTGAGGATTTTTTCTGGATTTTGATTTATTTGAATTATAATTTTTTTTTGTCAGATTTGTTATTGATTTATATAAATCTTAGCCGAAATTATAGAATGTTTTTTATTCCCTTAAACTAGAATTAAAACAACACGTTTTTTGTATCTGAACCCACGATCTCCATTTCCCTTATTCAACTTCCAAGTTTCTCTTATATATGATAACTGTTAAACCATATAATCGTTTAACGTGAAGAAAAAAACCATAGTTACTTTAGGTGATTTTTTACTTCTCGATTTCTTGCTTTTTATCTTCAATTTCTCAGATTTCATAGATATGTAATTCAAGCTTTTTCTCTGCGATTCTGTTTCAGGAACTATAAACTGCGATTGCTTGAAAAATAAAACTTCCTTTCACACCAATAGCTCAACTAAAACCAGTTTCTGAAAATAAAATTTGGAAGATTAAAGCTCGAGTTACCTGTGGAGATGCTGGCGGACTTGATTTAATACTTGTAGATGAAAAGGTATGTAAGCCTATAGAAGTTTTTATTTTGTCACATAGTATCTTATACCACGATCTCAATTCCCAATTCTGTTGTTGTTGTTTTAATAGGGAGACCGTATACAAGCTTGCATAAGAGGAAAGCTGATATCCAAGTTTCAACATGAATTGGAGGAGGGAGTATGTCGTGTTTTATTGAATTTCAAGTTGTCTCCTAATCTTGGGAGTTTCAGGGCAAGTCCACATGCTTTCAAACTTTCTTTCACTTGGTCAACAATGTTTTTGTGGGTACGTTTTAGTACTATCAACTTCTGAACAAAGAGATATTTATAATAATATCTTGAAAGCTGTTGAAACAAATTCTGGTGGTGCTTTTTTCGTCAATGGGTTTGGAGGGACAGGGAAAACATTTCTTTGGAAGACTATGTCCACATACATTCGGTCTATTGGAGATATTGTCTTGAATGTAGCTTCGAGCGGAATGGCAGCACTGTTACTAGATGGAGGACGCACAGCGCATTCTCGATTTTCAATACCGATAGATCTGAACGAAAGTTCCACTTGCTCATTTTCCACAAACAGCGAGTTAGCTCAACTGTTATTGAAAGCGAAGTTGATCATTTGGGATGAGGCACCAATGTTGCATAAACATTGTTTTGAAGCCCTAGATAGAAGCTTGAAAGACATTTTAAGAGCATCAAAAAATCTGAACTATAATAGGCCGTTTGGTGGGAAGACCATTGTTTTCGGGGGTGATTTTCGGCAAGTGCTCCCAATGATTCCTAAGGGGAGCAGGGAACAAATTGTACAAGCTTCTCTCACTTCTTCTGTGCTCTAGAAATCTTGCAAAGTGCTCAGCTTAACGAAGAATATGCGGCTAACTGTTGATTCAGATCCAGCGGAGATTGAATCTATTAAAAAGTTCTCCCAATGGATTCTAAAACTAGGTGATGGGAAGTTATCTGAACCTAATGATGGGGAAGCAGTGATTGATATACCAGATGACATGCTTCTCATGGACTCGCTTGATCCAATCACGTCAATCACTAATGCCGTTTATCCGTCATTGATAGAACATCTAGAGGAGGAGTCGTTTTTCAAAGACCGTGCAATATTATGTCCTACCAATGATGTTGTTAGTGAGGTCAACAATCACATTATGGATCTTCTTCCGGGAGAATTGCAGACATATTATAGTTCTGATAAAATATGTGCTTCAGATTCCAGCGTTGTTAGAGATGATGATGTGACAGTTGAGTTCCTTAACTCAGTTAAGTGTGCGGGACTGCCAAATCATGTTCTAAAGCTAAAGAAAGGAGTTCCGGTTATGCTTCTGAGAAACATTGACCAGAAATGTGGTTTGGTCAATGGAACTAGGTTGCAAGTTACACAATTGGGAGCTCATATCATTGAAGCAAAAGTCATTACAGGTAACAATGTGGGAAACAAGGTTTATCTTCCAAGAATGATGCTTACACCTACAGATGCTAGATTGCCTTTTAAATTTCAACGGAGACAATTTCCTATTTCTCCGTGCTTTGGAATGACAATTAACAAGAGCCAAGGTTAGAGTTTGGCTCATGTGGGAATCTATTTACCAAGACCTGTTTTTGCACATGGTCAACTATATGTTGCTGTCTCAAGGGTTAAAAGTAGAAGAGGTTTAAAGATTCTTATTATTGACGAAGAAGGCAAAAAGGCAAAGAAAACAACAAATGTTGTTTATAAAGAAATATTTCAGAATTTCAGCCAAGTTTGATGAATGTTAAGGTAGTAACTATATTGAAATAGTCATGGATTTTCTTTCCAAGTTCGATCCTGTTCTTAACAGCTCAAGAATATTATTTCAGGTACATGTGTCAAAGACCTCTTCAGATATGGGCATCAACAGATAAACACATCAATCATAATGGATTTTTTTTTATTTATCTCGATATGTATATATAGGATTCTATATGTTTAACTTTGCAACTGTGTTTTTAGGTTTGAGTTTGCTTTATATGCAGTTAATTAGGTTGTCTACAATTCATATGATATTTTAGAGAGTTTTTCTAACTTGGTTTTTATTTATAAGTTTATTCTATAATTTACAAAACAGAAAACACAGAAACAGAAACTTATAAAAGTAAAGAAGATCAATGTTACAACACATATGCTATATCAATGCCATTTTGCAAGACAAGTGTGGGAAAAATCAACTATCCAGCAACCTATTTTCTCAATAAATCTCCTATCCCCAGTTCAAGGACTAAGAGAAACAAATGATGTTGTGTGGTTACCTCCTTCTGGAACGGGGAATGGTCTGCTAGCGCCCTAGATCCTTTGGACTATCTGGTTGGTAAGGAACCAAATTTTTTTTAATAATCTGTCTTCTCTGCAGATGAAACAATGAGCAAAGCAATTAGAGATGCCAGTGATTGTCAATAAGCACAAGCAAAGCAGAAGCAGAGTTTTCAGATTTTGACCAATCAATTTGAAGGAAATCCCAGCTGCAATTTGCTTCTCCGATGCACCATGGACAGAAGATATATGCGCCACAAATCGCGATTTAGATAGTAGATTTCCAATTTAAAGGAAATTTCAGCTGAAATTATGAAATAGAAAATGATTATGATAGAGAGAAAATGATTAAGAAGATAAAGAGAAGAGAAGATAATTATGAAATAGAAAGCAATTAGAGATGCCAGTGATTGTCAATAAGCACAAGCAAAGCAGAAGCAGAGTTTTCAGATTTTGACCAATCAATTTGAAGGAAATCCGACCTGCAATTTGCTTCTCCGATGTGCCATGGACAGAAGATACATGCGCCACAAATCACGATTTAGATAGTAGATTTCCAATTTAAAAGAAATTGTAGCTGGAATTATGAAATAGAAAATGATTATGATAGAGAGAAGATGATTAAGAAGATAAAGATAGGAGATGAAAAAGAAGGTAAGGAGAGTAGACGATTGCGGAGGAGGAAGAAGATCATAGAGAAAGAGAAAAGATTAATAAAATTTTGGGTTACTTTTTTTTGTCGACAATGTATATTATTAAAATCCATAAGGGTAGAGAAAGACATAAAGCCCAATACAAAGCCCAAGACAATCAACACAATTTGAGAGGAATACAAATGAAACATGATACTTAACACATGTTGACAAATTGAGAAGCTGGACCACGTGGTGTAAATTGCCGCTTCGTCGTCTTCATCGGCGAACTCCGACAGCAACGCTTCGGCTTTCTCTTTTTTTCGACTGTTTAACCGGACATGACGCAGATATCTCCAAAATTGGAAAGCTAAAAATTCCTCAGAGTCTTTAAATTTGGAAACAGTGAAAATTCTGATAAAAAACCTAAGATTTTCAAATAAATCAAATCTTTTTGAGACGAGAAATTTCCTGAAAAAAATCAAGCATAACAAAGAACCGAAGAAATTTTAGGTTACTTGAATTTTATAAATAATTTTAATAAATAATTTTATTACTGAAATGCCAATGCCCGTGCATAGCACGGACCAAAATACTAGTTTATTATAAATTCATGAACCGATTGTATGTGTTTTTATTTTATTTTTGCTTTGTCTTCTTATCATTCGTAACTGTACAAATCAGTCTTTAACATTTTTTTTTAACTTTTGTTTTCAGGTTAAGTAGCAAGTTTTTACTTCTAACACATCTAAAAGCCACTACACATTGAAGACTTTATCATTGAATAACAAAAGGATGAAGCATTATAATCCTTTTATTATTTTTTGTGTTCTCAAGAAGATCAAGACTAATTATTTTTTATATATCTTGTGAATGGAACTAATTTTTTGTCCATTTGTATTATTAGATATGAGTTGGAAGAAATAACAATTTATGTTTTATTCAATATGATATTTATATGAATCTTAAGAAATTTATGTAAGTAATTTGTAAATTTGATAGAACTTATACTTATATGATAAAAAATTAGGAAAGATTACACATATAGCACAAATTTATTATTTTATTACTAGATTAGCTATTAATTTATTTTTATTACTAACTAAATTTTTGTGCCCATAATACCCATCAATCATTTGTTATGAAAAATCATATTTACAAAAATGTCATTATTATTTTTTTTCAACTCAGCAAAAAATAGTTAATAATTACGAAAATTGCCATTATATTCGAATAAATCTATTGTACAAGAACTACTAATGTATGATGACATACTTAATTTTATAAACATACTTATTTTTAGCAGTAGACTTTTGTCACAGATTTATTCAGAATAATAGACTTATATCAATAAGTCTCTCATATGAAACGATATACTTTTTCAGAGAAAAAAATATTTTTGCCAATAAACTTATTTCTTAGACTTGTTATGTTTTGACCATAGATTTACTTATTTTTAATAGACTAATTTTTTGTAATAGACTTATTTCACATACTTATATTTTGCACGATAGACTAATATGTATATGAGTGATAACAAATTTAAATTTTCTGTTCTGAATGATGATAGACTTATCGTTAGTTTTGTACTAGTCTGCTATCATTAAAAGACTTATTTCACTCTAAAACTGAATTACTAGATTAGCATCATCGTAATAGTAGACTTATTTTAACGTTGCAACAAATATTTATTTTCTGCATCACTTAACTTATTTGATAATAATTTTTTAGAGTAGTAGATACAACAAACTTATATAAATCTTTTTTTATTTCGGGATCGTTTATATGATAACAGGTTTATGTATAACAGACTTTTTGAATAATGTTATAGCAAACTTAATATCACAGATTTAAATTTCTTAGCAGATACGATTAATAATGTGTAAACATTATAATTTAATGACGTGGCAATATCTTTAGTTACCATAGCTATTTGTAACCTAATTAAGGAAATTAATTTACAATTTGATGATGTGGCAAAAATCCAACAAACTACGGCTTCTAAGTTAGGTTAAGCCGCACTACCTCTTCTAACATTACAGAGTGGATTCAATCGATGTTAACTTTTAATTTCTAGATCCAGCTTTTCTCACATTCATCCATTTATCAGAAATGCAGCAGATTATTCTTGTGTGTGGTAAATGGATGTTTGATACAAACAAATGGATGTTTGCTATTGATAAAAAAAGATGGAGCAAGATTATAGCAGCAAGCAATAATACTAGTTATGAAGATTTCTATCTAATGGTGATCGAAGATTACAATGTCGATATGCAAGTCTACGATGTGGAATTGAGCTACATGTTTTCTAAGAGAGTTTTGATGACGCTATCACAAAACACACCATCAGTACGGATTGGAAACTGTAGGCAGTTTCAAAGATTTTTAGGACAATTAAAAATCGAAACGGTGCAACTATGTGTTGAACTTAAGGAGAAAGGTATAAAGGATGATGTGTCTCACCTAAAAAGAGAAACTGTGACAATTCAAGATGAAGACGACGATAGTGATCGATTTGATTATTGTGATGATTCTGATGGAGTATCTTCTGGTGATGAAGACTTTAGCTTATACGGGATGCCTCCACAAGAAGAAGAGAATAAGCAAAAGTCAGAAAATACGAAGACTAGTTCGACATTTATAAACGCTCAAGCAAAACATGTTCAGTTAGAATTGTCTTCGCTGGATTTAGCTGTCGGACAACGGTATGAGACAAAAGATGCATTGGAGACAAGTTGAAGATTATGTCAGTTCTACAACAATTTGATTTTAACATAGAAAGATCAAGGCAAACGCTGTTAATTATTAAGTGTTGGGTGGAAGGATGTAGTTGGAGAGTAAGAGCTACACCAATTGGAGATTCTTCTCAGTTTACTATTCGTGTGTATGTTGCAGAACATACATGTTCCATCACAGAGCGTTCTGCTCGTGTCCGACAAGCGACTCCAGACATACTTGCAATGCTATATGTGGATTATGTTGGTGGTGTTGATTCAAAGGTTGTGCCAAAACATGTTGCAGAAGCTTTGAACATGAGATTTGGTATCAAGGTGAGTCATTAACTTTAAGTTTTTTTAGTTTTTGAATAATAGTTTGATCATCACACCAAGTCCATATGTATAAAACAGTTTAACTTTTTCATTTGTTTCATATTATAATACACCATTCTATATTGATAATGCAGTGTAATAGTAATATATAAGGGTTTCGTTATTTGTTTATGGCTTATAAATCATGTGGCTTATTAATTTTATTTTGTTTTTAGATGGACTACTGGAAGGCACATCGAACATTTGCATGTGCACGAAATTTGGTTAGAGGTTCGGCAGAAAGTGGATACTCAGAACTACCTATGTATCTACACCAAATAAGAAGAGCAAATCCTGGAACATTCACACGTTTGGAAGTTGATGAGTTGCAAATATTTAAGTATTTATTCCTTGCATTTGGTGCTAGTATAAATGGATTTCCCTATATGAGAAAGGTGATTGTCGTTGATGGTACGTTTCTTCAGGAAAAATATAAAGGGACACTACTAATCGCAACAGCTCAAGATGGAAATTTTCAAATATTTCCTCTTGCCTTTGCAGTTGTTGATACAGAAAATGACGATTCTTGGGAATGGTTCTTCCAGCAGCTTAGCAATGTGATTCCAGATGACGAAGGACTTGCAGTAATTTCTGATAGGCATAAAGCTATTGGTAATGCTATCGGAAAGGTGTATCCTAAGGCTAGCCGTGGAGTTTGCACTTACCACCTGTATAAGAATATATTGGTACATTTTCAAGGGGGTGATGCGTTTCGATTGGTTAAAAAGGCGGCAAATGCTTACAAAATATCAGATTTTGATACAACATTTGTACAGATCTAAGCTTTAATCCAGCACTACATACGTACTTGGAAAACGCTGATGTATGAAAGTGGGCGTGGGTACATTTTTCGGGTGATAGATATAACTTAACTACAACAAACATAACAGAGTCGATAAATAAAGTGCTCTCAGATGCAAGGAGTTTGCCAATTGTACGACTTTTGGATGCTGTGCAAGCAATGATGACAAGATGGTTTGCGGATCGAAGAAGTGATGCAGGAGTTATGAAGACGATGCTGACTCGTGGAGTAGAGAAACTATTGGAGGTAAAAATTAAATTTCATCTTTGTTTATTCGATCATTGCTTTGAATCAACATAAGGTAACAAATCTTTGTTTTATTTTTCAGAAACGTATACCCCTAGCTAAGTTGCTTACTGTACAAGCAATAGATTTACATCAGGTACAAGTGATAGGCGGTACATCTTTAGATGTAGTTAACTTGGCGGAGAAAACATGTTCTTGTCGTCGATTTGATGTGGAGAAGTTACCATGTCTCCATTCAATTGCTGCAGCAGAGGCATATAAAAGATCTTTTATATCATTATGTCATCCTTATTATCACAAGAAGTACTTGTACACTGTCTATTCTGCTACTGTAATGCCAAGAGATGCTGCTACACCTGTTCCAGAGAATGTCGCCCAGAATTTATGTCTGCCTCCCTTAG